AMASAMMTCCCGAACCAAAATCCGAACCTGGTCCAGTGGTCTAGTGTTCGAACGAAATCCGAGCCCAAAAAAAAAAATCACTTGTTGGACTGGGCTGGGATTAGAACAGGGAAAAAAAAAAAAAGAAGTGCTTTCAAACCGAATTCGAACCCCCAAAAAAGGTGTTGAAACTGAACGCAAACCGCGGAAAAGAAAAGTCTAAAAAAAGAAAAGGAAAAAAAGTATAGAACTGGACAAGAGCGGAATTTCTCACAGGCAATCTCTTTTTTGCATGAGAATGTTGTGATCTATAGAATAAAACAGTTTGTTATGTCGCCTTGGATGGCCTCCAAACCGAATCCAATCCTGAAAAAAGAAAAAAGAGAGAGAAGACCGGAATCAGGAGAAAAGAAGTGTCCTGAACAGATCAGTAATTATAATATCTGATTTCCTTTTTTTTTCCCCTCAAAAAAGAAAAAGTTTCCAAACCGAATCCTAGCTAGGAAAAAGAAAGAGAACTCTCGAATTGAAATCAGAAGCGGGAAAAAAAAGAAGTATTCAAATTTCGAACAGAATCCAAACTGCAAAAAAAGATCTTGCGAATTGGAATCGCATTGATTTTCGGATCTCTTCTGGGAGATGATTCACACAAAATCTATACTTGTCCATCTTCCCCTCCCCTCCCTTCCCCCTCCTCCTCTCCACTTCCCCCTTCTTTTCCCCCTCCTTCCCCTTCCGCTTCCCCTCTGCCTCCCTCTCCCTCTCCCTCTCCGCCTCCCTCTCCTTCTCCTCCCTCATTGCTTGCATCTTCTTCTTCTTCTTCTTCTTCTTCTTCTTCTTCTTGTTCTTCTTCTTCTTGTTGTTCTTCTTCTTCTTTTTCTTCTTCTTCTTTTTCTTCTTCTTCTTCTTCTTTTTCTTCTTCTTCTTCTTCTTCTTCTTCTTCTTCCCCACGCCGGCTGAGACCGGCCCCTCCCGTATCTTCATTGTCCATATTGGGACGTCGGCAGGCTCGTTCATTCTCTCCTCCTCCCAGTCACCCTTCCTCTCGTCGTGGTGTTGATGCTAATCTGCGGGGTTCTTTGTCTTACCGACAGCCTGCTGTGGCGTGTCTTACTGACAGCCTGCTCTGGCATGCCGACGACGTTCGTCATTTACACGTCGACCTCGCCAGATCAGATCTGGCTTTCCCGTAGTGACCGATTCGGATCTGCGGGCAGACCTACCAAATGCTTGTGGTTTGACAGCCACAAATGTCTGCCTACCTCAATGGCTTATCAGCGTCAATGTTATACTGCATCCCAATTTGTTACGATTGCTTATCAGCTTGACGCTGTTGAAAATCAGTCGTTGTATTAGTCCAACTCCTGAAGGTAGGGAGTAGCTATACTCTACCTCAGAAGGCTTTACTGTAAATGTCTTACAGCTAGCGTTCCACGACCGACACCTTCTTATGCATCATGCGATGCCAGGCGATGACTTCAATAACCATCCTCATATTTCTTCCTGCGTTTTACACAGACCTGGGCATTATATGGCACTCATTCGTGCAGCTGCCCAGTGGGAACTGTGGGATGGTGGGACGATGATTCAGGCTATTTTCAACGTAAATGAATTTTTATGTGCATTGCCGAATCATACTTTATTCTGGATTATTGACCGACTCTCGTGTGACGCCTGTCGGGACAGAGACGCGGTGCGCCTTGGCTGTGGAATGCATCATCTATGCCATAGCCATTATCAATCTATTGCGACTGCCGGGCGCGCGATAGCACTAACACGGGCGCCATGGAAAGGGAGATGGGGGCGCTGCGAACGCGGGCGTTGCTGCTGGTGTGGGCGCGCGCTTCCGGGGGGCCGCGTGGACGCTGGTGGTGGGTGCGCTGGCGAGGAGTGAGGGCATGCGCAGCGAGTGCAGCTGGCAGAGCGGTTGGGCGCGCATTGTGGGGCAAGTGCGTGCTACTGGCAGTGTGGGAGCGGGCTTCAAACAAAGTTTGCAGATGTTGCTGGTGGTTGGGCAAGCGCTACTGGGCGTGCACTTGTGCGCTGCTAGCTGGAGAGCGGCCATGGCAGTCACTTGTTTACTGGCCGCCACGTTAGCCGCCACGTTAGTGCTGACTTGGCGTCGTCGTCTTCTATACCTGGGGCGGTTGTTGGGTAGTGGCGAAGATTTTTTGGGGGGATTACAAGGTGAGAATGTGGAACAATAACGTTACTTGATATTTCCTATCCTTTGAAAGCACATTGTGCCATCTCGCTGCTTCGCGCTTCATTTGGGCGATACGACAGGCTAGTATGTCGAATGGATGGGAGCTTGCTGTCTTTTTTTAAGATAAAAGTTCCTTGACGAATCACTCTCGCTCTTTTACTTGCGGGTTATAGTGGAGGGAGGTCGGCTTGCTGCGAGGGGAGAGGAGAAGTGTTATCACGGGGAGTGGGAGGATGATTGACAAAAGATATTGAGTGCGGACTCTACGAGCGTTGCAACGGTCTCTGCAAGAGGAAGCTGCTTCGACTTGGGGACTTTCTTTTTCGGCCCGCCAGCGTACTCTTCATCTTTTCATCATTGGTGATGATCAACAGGGCTCATCTTCATTTTCATCAGCATATTCATTGTCATCATCGAAATCGTTAGTGACAACCCTAATTATCGTCATCATAAGCAGCAGTAGCATCATCATCATCATCATCATCATCATCATACGACAAGTGTGATTGGGAGGGGCGGGGAGGATAATTGTTCCACCACGTCCCGTCCTTTCTTTCTTCGCTTTCCTTTTCTTCTTCTACATATCTCACTCCCCTCTTTATCCTTATCCTCTTCCTTTCATTCCTGCCCTTTCTTCTTTTTCTCTTGTGCTGATGCTTTTTTCTCTGCTCTCGTCGGTTTGTTGCTTTAGTGTTAGAGGTTCTGCTGCTGCTTTGTTTTTGGGAGATCTGAGCACTGCTTTGCTTTTCGGGATGCTCTTCGCTGCTTCCGAGAGGGAACAAAGTAAGTGGGACAACAATGTATGAAGTGGCGGGGGGGAAAGAGTGGAGGAAGCAGGGGGGTGCACAGGAGGAAGAGGGTAAAGGAGGGAGATAAGGAGAGTGTGACTAGGGGTAATAGAGAGGTCACGAGGATAAGGAGAGAATGAGGGAGAGGGGAGGGGGAGGAGGGAGCTCATGTAGCTTACTGTGTCATAATCTGTTGATTTTCTTGGAGTCTTTTTCCTCACTTTTATTCTCATCTACCAGTTCTTATTAGGTACTATATTCCATATGATCACTCTTTCCTCAAATTACCAACTCAGTCTTCCTTATAAGTATCATCTTTAATTAATACCTCAACTTTTTTTTTTGACTTTTATCGTCGTTAATTAATATCCTAACTAATATCTCGAAATATTCTTGATTATTCTTTTCATCATATACTGGATTTCACGATAATTAGCCGCAATGGTATTTTTGATACCTAAAAATTTGAAATAACTAATTTATTATTAATTAATCTTTCCTGTTATTCATCAACTTAGTTAATTACACACATGTCACGTCTCATCTTCTTTTGAAATCTCCCATAAGTTTTCCCCAGTAATTGACATTCATTTCAACCTCTTTTCAAAAAATGGATTTCTAAATTTCGTATATTTTTTCTTTGTTCCTCTTTTGTGTGTATCAATGTTTCTTTCAAAATTTGTATGAGGGTTTCTCAGAGGGGGTGAGCTCTGCTCTACATGAGCTTCACAAGGAGGATAGTGATGCTTGGGAGGGGGTATGAGCAGACTGTGGGGGATACTCTACACTGGGGCTGGGGGAGATGTGAGGGCGAACATCAAACCTAGTAATCAGAGGCAGATTAGGGTATGGGGCAGGCAGAGAAATACTTTGGGTGGGAACTGGATATCTTTGGGTTGTAGGGTGTGAGAATGGGACTGTTCCAAGTTGGGGCTGATGGGGAAGGTCTCCTTATTTCGACACTCTTTGTTGGTGGAGGCAGCGAAGGGACAGGGTGGGAAGGAGGAGGGGGGAAGGAATTTTTTAAGCACTAACTATTTTAGTACTGCACAAGTGCCTGGGAGACAGACGGCTGTCTTTAAAGAACCAGGACAAGGGTAGTACATCACTAATTAGGCTAATTGCGCTATGTCCACCTTAGTTGGCTGTGACACTCCCTAGGTGACATTTGGTTTCTTCTATTATGGATAACAGGATTTCAGGGATAGCTGAATCCTGGCTGGCGTTTGCTAGAGTAGTAGTGTTCTGAGCTCTCGGTTTGCTGATACGAGAACGACGGTGGCCGGGGCTGGGGTGTTTGCCCTGTGACCTGTTTTGTAGCAGGAGCGTGAGGCCTGGTAGAGAGATCTGGGGATTTGTCGAGGGCTATGTGACACCCGCGACCTAGGCCGCGGGCAATTCGGCCGCCGCGGCCGATGAGGCCCAGTCCGCGGCCTGGTTTTTCAATATATATTCCCCCCCCAAAAAAAATACGTAATATATGTATATCGTTTGTTGTCTTCTTCTCTCTCTCTGCCTACGGTTTACCGGGCAGTTCTGTTTGTGATGATATATATATATATATGCCAGCGGCGTGTCTGGAGTGTATTTTTTGGCTGTGACAGACCTTTCTTTGTTTCGTGGGTGTTTTGCTGGCTTGTGATGGGGNGCGACCCTTGGTCAAGTTCACGGGCACCCCGAATTCGATCAAAGCGGCCTTCTACATGCCTGGCAGTCGCCTCAATGCTTCGTCTTTGCCGAGGAAATGTGCAAACAAGATTCTCGATGCGTCCTCCACCATGGTTTACGACGAGGTGAAAGACACGTTGTATGTTGCGACCCTAATGTCCATAATTGAAGTTGACTTAAGGAATTTGAAAATCTCAGTCCGCTATCCGTTTGTGGCTCCTACCGGGGAGAGCATAGGTTTTGGTCTTTCTACAGATGGGAGCTCGTTAGCTGTACCCTATATAGATAATTCTACCGTGCTCCGGCTGGGACTCGACCGGAAGCACGAAGAGGTCCTTCTTGGCGGCAACGCTTCCTCCCTCGCTGGAGCTGTACCTTATAAAACCTATTACGCTATCCCTAGGATGGCCACATATTTACCGGACGATCACTTCCTTGTCGTGGGCGTTGATATCTACATGGATAATACCGGCTTTACTGAACACTTTGTGCAATTGGTGGAGTTTGATTTGCCGAATGGAAAGGTGATCAAGGCCGAAAACACTAATGTCAGGTTCAAAGATCCTGACCGCTCCGTTGTGGGGAGGTCGTTGGCAGTGGCAAATTACGGCACCGACACTCTTTCTCTTCTTGTCGCAACTCAGGGTCAGACCGCCGAGCTGTGGATGGCAGAAATTGACCCTGATGTTGTAGAGTCTCCCTCTCTGAGTCCACCCTCGTCCTCCTCCTCACCGATGCCGTCAGCGCCACGGTCCGACAACCTTCTGCCCATTTCCTCTGTATCTGCGGTGCCTTCGTCTGCCGTCTTGCCTCCAATCTCTTGGCAAGCTGAGCCATCTCTGAACGCTTCCGTGCCCGAGTCCTCCATAGGTGCGGTGCCTCTTTCGGCGACCATGTCTTCAATCTCTTCACAAGCAGAGCCATCTCTGAACACTTCCGCTGAATCTTTATCATCGCCTTCAGTTCCTATGTTGCAAATGCCTGATGATTCCTTTTCTGGTGCTCCAGTCCAAACCCGACCACCATCCCCTCCAAGTGCATCGGCCTCATCGGCTGCATCGGCACCTTCTTGGAGTTGTGCTCTCGCAATAGAGGTGGTGGTTGGCCTTGTGTTGTGCTGGGCAGGCATCTTCGACTTCGCCAATCTGTCATAATCATCACCAGTAATCCTTGCACAAAGGTAGGACATCGTTAGCTTGCTTGGTAACACTTGCTGTTTTCACTTACCACTTATTAGCTCATGAGATGAAGGGGAACTTATTTATAGGGGTACTTATTTATTACATAGCAACCTAAGGCTTTGGTCAACCCCTTGGGTGTGCAGTGGGCATGATATATGGCTTGGCAGACAAACCTGTTTTGATAAC